CGAATCGAGCAGTTTTTCATAAGTTAAATACCCGAACGGGTATCTGATCGAGGACTGTCGGGTTTGGTTCGATTCGGTTCTCGATTCTAGACCCAAAACCGAAAAAGAACCGAATTTAAATAATTTTTTAAATTTTTTATATTGAATTAATAAATTTAAAAAAAAATTTCTAAACAAATTAGCAAATTAACTAATTTAGTGATTAATGTTCTAACTCCCAAGTCAAGTCCATGTCTAGCCCATTCCAGCCCGACCCAATTTCTAAATTCAATTTTTTGATTTAATTATTTGCTCATATTATTAATTTCATTCTTAGACCAAGATCTAGGTCTTTTTAAATTTTTATCATTCTATTTTCAATTTCATGCTTTCATTCGGTAACCATTGAGTCAATGACCTCAAATCATTTAATAAATTGAAAACCTACATCTAAATGTCCAAATCGAAATCGCGGACTGTCGAGTTCGACTTCCCATCTCCAATACCCATCGAAGTCGTGACCTCCAACCACGACCACCAATCGTTAACCATTAGAAATCTGTTAAAAATTTTAATTATGGTACGGAATTGAACAGAACCGAACCCGAATGGTTCCATAATTATATTTGGACCCGACGGTTCCATTTATTAAATACCCGAAAGTTTTGGGTCGGTTCGGGTCTCTTCAGAACCGAACCGAACCGACCCACGGACAGCCCTAATTGCAACCACACATTTTNAAAAAAATTAAATTATGGTACGAAACCGAACGGACCCGAACCGGCTCTAACCGAACCGGCTTGAACCGAACCGAACCGAACCGAACCCGAACGGTTCCATAATTAAATTTGGACCCGACGGTTCCATTTATTAAATACCCGAAAATTTTGATTCGTTTCGGTTATCTTCAGAACCCAACCGCACCATGTCCAGCTCTATATTAAATAATCATATTTTCTATTAATATGTTTTTCTCTTCTATAATTTTACACACAATTCCTCATCATTCACACGATAATATTTTTTCAATTATGAATTCATTGAAATTATGTTAAATTCCAACAAAAAAAATAATTAAAAAAACCGATTAGCCCGTCTCGGAATTTTGGTCAGGTCAGTAAAAATTCCCAATCCATTAGTGTCAAGCCCATTACAACAATTTGGATAAATATTCATCTCTTACCTTGCAAGTTTTTTAAATCCAAAAACAATACAATTTATGGTGTAAAAATGATAATCAATAAATATAATCACTCCTTTCATTAGTCAAATTAAACGCTATCATTAATCCACCAAACACGATATATCA